TATAATTACAATCATAATTACAATTACAAATATGGTACTTCACATATATAATATTTCATAATAATTCTAAAGGTAACTTCAATGTATTTAATAAATAACTTTAAAAACAATTCATTCTTGAACTTTTTCGTGTGGTTCAATAAATGAATCACGTTACTTTATAAATAGTAAATGAAATTCATCGAAATCTTTAGTTCTATTCTGATCTTGAATAAATATTAATTCATTAACTCAATATCCACCTTATTTATATATACATACATATATATATATATATATATATAACAATTTATCCTTACCTTCTGTTTTTTTAGAAGAAACCTATCTATTCCTTCTTTCTTATTTTAGGTGGATTTCCAGACTTGGCCTTATAAAAAAAAATAATTAAAAGTACTGCAGCCGACACAATCAGCATTTCACTTTTCCTGTTGTGTTGTGTACTCCGGCGTTTCATCGTATACTTCTTTGTAACGAGCCCACTGGTACTTTCCTCTTTTACCTTTTTTTGTGGCATAACCCGTAAATATCCTCACTTTTCCTTGTCCATTTCCCACTCTTCCTTCAATCTTCTTCTTCTTCCCCCATTTTTCGACCCCATCTTTCAAGTTAAACAATCGTTCTGAAACTGAAGAGACTACTTCAAACGATTTTCATTTCCTATTCCTGTTACCATAATGTGTTTCTTCCATTGATTTTGCTTCTACCTCTTTATTTTTCTATTTTCTCAAGTTTTTACCCCACTCTAGGGTTCTCTGTTTGCTTTGTTTTGTCCTCTGCTGATGGGTATGGGTTTAAAGAGAATTATCTATAGTTCTTAAAAGGGGTTTCTGCAAATTGGGTTCTTTTTGCTGTTTCCTACTCAAAATTGTTGTGGGTACAAAGTTCTTCATAAAAAATGCCGGACTCCAATCACGAACCATCAATTTACACTTCAGATGCCATGAACATGCACCAGACCCAACAAGCAGAGGAAGATAGCGATGTTGGGGGTGCTGCTGGAGGCGAAGAGTCTGTAGACAACTCTCTCGCTCAGTACCCAGATGGGGGCTCCATTTGTGTGGTTAATAATGGAGGTGTGGAAGATGTTGCTCATAATGGGGTATATGCCCAAGGGTCTCATTTTCCAGCGTTGCCCGGAAATGGAAATGCTGATCAACTCACACTCTCGTTTCAGGGAGAGGTTTATGTGTTTGATGCTGTTTCTCCTGATAAGGTTAAGTTTTTGTATTTGTTTTCTCTTTTCTCCTTTTTATGCTAAGTTTAAAACGTTCCTACTCTTGGCAGCTGAAAAGGTAGGGTTTTGCATTTGCTTTTTCTTGTTAATGTTGATCAATCTAGTGAAATATAAGAGGCTGTTTTCCGTTTTTTATTCCCTTATTCTTGTCCACTGCAAATTTAGCTGAAAGGATTAGGGTTCTGCATCTGCTTTTTCTTTATTTTTTTTCTTTTTGATGAATTTTATTTATTTTTATGCTTTTCCTTTCAATTGTTTGTTCCAAACTCTTTAACTTTGCATTGGGGTTTTGTTCATTTTTAGTGAATTAGGAATTTGGGAGATGTATATGTGGTTTAGGCTGTTTAGACTGAAGGGCCTCGTCAGTTTGGTCTACCATGCAATTTTTCTCTGGTGTTGATGCTAATATAACTAAAAGGTTCAGTGGTCTCTTCTGATGTTTGGTTCAATAGTTATTGTTACGAGGCATGTTTGTGGGTTTCTGTTGTCTAGTTGTGTGTTTTTGGCTTATATAGGAGTTGTGTAGGGTCCAGATCATGGTATTTACTCAACTGGAAAAAAGTGTATTATATATATATATTTTAGTTCTTTCCCTGATCTGGATTTGGTTATCTTATGTTTTACATCCCTAAGGAAATTCTTTTATTGTTTGAATTCCAGTAAGTTTGTGTATGATGTGCTTTACTGCTCCTTTTCTTTGCATAAAAGGGTTCTACTCATTGAAGTTGGTCGCAATTGGTAAGCCAACTGTTAATTGAATGACAACTTTGTTGACTTTCTGAGTTATCTATAACAATTTGTGTTTTTTAGCCATAATATTGTTCCAGATTTGTGATTGAGTCTTCATTGATGTGGAAGTTTTTCTGCCATTTAGATAGAGTGGCATGAGAAAATTTATTTTCATTTGTGTTGTACTCTTACAGGTTCAGGCAGTATTGTTACTTTTAGGTGGATATGAGATCCCTTCAGGCATTCCTACTTTGGGGACTAACCCTTTTAATCAGAGGGTTTGTAATTATTTTAACCATTCAAACTGTTATTCCTTCGTTCTTTTTTTTAAAGTGGTTCTGCTATTTTCATTCTTTTTATGTTTCCATTTGCATCTGCTAGGGTATGGGTGAATTTCCTGGGAGGTCAATTCCACCACAAAGAGCTGCTTCTTTAAGTCGGTTCCGGGAGAAGAGAAAAGAACGGTGCTTTGATAAGAAAATCCGTTATGATGTGAGGAAAGAGGTCGCTCTGAGGTATTTTGATGATTAGTTTCTTTCTTTTCTTTTTACATTGTTCTATTTTCTAATGAGATATAGTTTGTCTTGTGGTTAAATTTTAGATAATAACCAAGTGAGTCAGTATTATTTGTTGATGGATTGTTTATTCCACTATACATTGCTCATTTAGCGTGTTTGTAACTCTTGTTTACAGGCAGTTATATAAACTTCAGATTAAAATTTAAATCGTAGTGTGGCAGTTGGACTGGGCTTATAGAAATCTTATGTCCAAATGATCTAGCTAGGTACTGAAACAACATCCTGTAATGAGATCAAATATTTTAGATTAGATCTGGTTATGCAATTGATTAAAATTTAAATATACTTGGTAGTTGGAACAAGCAGGTTGTGGATAAAGATTGTCTGCACTTATAGAAATTTACAATCCAATTAAATGTAAACAAAGGAAAATTGGTGTTTGTTTGTATCAGAGGCAAAAAGAAAGCAAATGCTATGTTGTGCTTATACCTCCAAGCGTTGTTCTTACTTGTGATGTTGATTGCAGCAGATAATCTTAAGCATATAATTCAGGAAGTCTCTTAGTTCATTTCTCCTTCAAATTGGAATGACATATTAGGCTGTGTATAATTGTTTCTGTGCTTTTATGTGCTTCTAGTCAATCAGGATTCAGACTTGAAACAACTAGTGGGTGCCAATTAAGGTCCAATGACTCATAAAGGAGCAGGGTATGACATATACCACTTCTCCACACCTATATTTGACATACCTAGAAATTAATACGCAAAATGCCCTCAACTTATAAAAATCAAACACAATTGATTCTCATTATTGAATGGGAGCCTTCATTATTGATATTTTGTTTGATACTTTATTTTGCCTTATGTCTTTTATTATCTTTATAACTTTTCGTTCCTTTTTGTCTTCTATTGTTGCGTTAATTGTCAGCCATTGCCACCCCTCCTCCCCCACAACCCCCCTCTTTCATTTTCCTTCCCATCCTAGTACACATCTCTAAGTGATGAAGATTGGTTATGCCAGGATGCAGCGGAAAAAAGGTCAGTTCACATCATCCAAAGTAAGTTCCGAGGATGCAGGCTCGGCTTCTTCCGATTATAATGCAACTCAGGGTTCCGGACAAGATGATATGCAGGAAACCTTGTGAGTAATATTTTGTTTCCAGGACCCTGGGACTTGTTTTTCTTATATTTTAACTACTGCTTTTCCCATGGGAGGATGGCATACAACTTGCATCCAGTGTCCCTTTTCACTTCAATATGCTATTTTCAAGTTTCTAATCAAAATAATTTTCACATCAAGATTGTTTTTGCCAACCGGAACATTATTTGTCTTATGATATTTCTCATTTTCTTTTCAAATATTCCATTACTTTTCCCTTGCAGATGTAGACACTGTGGAATCAGTTCCAAGTTAACTCCCATGATGCGTCGAGGACCTGCTGGTCCAAGGACTCTGTGTAATGCATGTGGACTCAAGTGGGCAAACAAGGTTTGTGCAATTCACTTCGGAAAGCTTAACCTAGTTCGATATTCCTCAGTTAATTAAAATTTATTACAAGTGAGAAAAGAATTTTACATGTTAATATTTTTGCAAATCATCTCCACTGCTCCTTGTTGCATCTTTTACATTCTTAGGTAATGTTGGTTCAATAGAATGACTATTCCTGTATTCCAACATCCCATGGTTATGACACAAAAATAAAGCAATAGAGGTAGAGTATGGAAGTATAGGAATGAGGTGGTAATAACTAAAACCTGGGAAGAGTATGCCATTAACCAAACATGCAACGCCCCCTGTAGGAATGAACTGACATTTCATAGAACCAAAAATGCTTTGTGTTGAGTTTGAACTTTAAGTTTAGTTGTTCAATCTCTGAAAATGTTTTGATTATCATATTTTGTTTCTTGTTTTCTCTTCCCATTATCTGTGCCAATTCTGGGGGAGTAATTAGACATGTTTTGCAGGGAATTTTGAGGGACCTTTCAAAAGTTCCAAGCATGGAAATTCAGGATCCCTCTGCAAAGGCCGCCAACCAAGTATGCCTGCTATACTGTAGAGAGTGGTTTTATAGAAGCTCGTGTGTTTCACCTGTTTTCCTCTTGTCATTTTCTGAAATTTACCAGCAGCTTAACTTAACTAACATCTTTACTTGTTTATCAGAATGATGGGGAAGCTAATTGCACAGATGCTGTAACCATGACTGCAGATGTTTTATCTTCTAATGGAGATAACCCTTCTCTCCCTGCTAAAGCTGAGTGATGGGATGACTGATGAGCTGCTCCCATTACGGCGGCTACCATACAAATCTGCCGCCTCAAAGCAGATGCCAGAAAACAACTGTACATATGTTCCATTGCATTTGATGAATCTGAAAAGTAGTAGTAATATACTGCCAGTGACTGTATTTTAGAGGGGACAGAAGACCAACATTCATGTCTCTTTAGAACCAGTTCCTCTAATTCTCGTTTTGAAAGCAAAAACAGAGAATTTGCACTCGGTATATGCAACTGTGGAGCAATTTCATTTTAGTTTTGAGCCCTTGCATTCTTTTCCTTTGATTTTATTTTTTATTTTTTATTTTTTATTTCCTGGCATTTCTAATTGTTTCAAGTAGACACCAAGAGGACTTTACTAGACATTCGGGGCGCAATTAACAAGAAAAAAAAGGTTAGGTGCTCAATGGTTATACATGAAATATCCTGATGGTGGTTGGTAATTGTCGTCGGTGGGTGACATTGCAAGCCTGCACTTTTTCATTTTCAACGTCAAGACCCTCTCTGGACCGTCAGATGCACTTTCAACAAGCCCTAACTTTTTTTTTTTTTTTGACAGTAAAAAATTTTAAGTTAAGTTAGTATATGTTTTTTGAGAGAGTTGAACCCATAATTAACGTGCATTTCACTTGCTACCTAATGAGGGGCGTGACCATCGCTTAATCACATGGGAGAGTGCTAACAAGCCCTAACCTTGATATAATCTTCTCCCTTACCTAGCCTTCCCATGGCCCTGATTTGTTCTGACCTCTTGAAAGAAAGAAAAAATTGCTGAGCTAAGCCAGTCTCTGAACTTGGCTCTGTTCTTAAAATTTTGCCCTGAAATGTAATTTTATACAATCTTAAATCTTATTTAACAATTAACCTTCTTCTTAATTAAGACTTATAAAATTGTATGTTTCACTCATAAATAACATGTAAAAATTATATAAAAAAATTATTTCTTTATCATTAACCCATACATTTATACTCTTCTTGAGAATGTCCCTTAAATTAAGAGTTTTACTTCTAGTACTAAATATATTGAGTTTGAACCTTTGAATATTGCAGAGGTGAAGAATTTGCTAGAAGAAAAAGTAATTTACTTCACTATTGTATAACTCATTATTTAGGTTTTGCAGCGCCTTAGTTGGATTACACCTCATGTATTGCAGTGCCTTTGATATACTATACCACGTAGATTGAGTTGTAATCTTTACGACTTTTTCTTGTCTTATTGATCAATTAATTGGTTTTTTACCAAAACAATCACTATATCATGCATCATAATCACCAATTATCACCACTTTTAACATTTAGAATGCATCTTGAAGGTAACTTTTGCAAAGATCTCTTTTGCTACATAAGTTAAAGGGTGTTCTTAATTTGTGACTTAGTTGTACATTTAATATAGTTTTTTGTTTATTAATTAATATAAAAAATTAAAAAATAATTTTTTTGACATTGATGTCAAGTGAAATATTTTAATTAAACTGTTGATAAAATTTAAATTAAATTTTATTTTTTATGCACATTAATAATAAAAAAATATAATACCCTTAAAAAATTCATAAGTTAAAAACAGGAAGGAAAAAAAGGTTGAGTGTAAACAATTTGCCCTCCTTAAGTGAAGTTTCAAATTTAACTTTTATAAATAAAAAAAATAGATATTAAAATTTTTTTTTCTCCAATTTAATTTTAAATTAGTGAGTTCTGAAAAAATTAGTTAAAAATAAAAAGTTTGATGTACAATTTTTAATTGTATTGCATTAACTTGGACTTTTAGAGGATGGACTCCACAGATAACTAAAAAAAAAAAAAAAGGGAAAAAGGGAGAAAAACAGAGAATCCATTGGAATTTCTGTTTCCATACCAGCTCAAAGGGTCTGCTCTAGGAAATGACAGAACGGTGCTTCTGTTCCATCCCATTTTTGGCTTCATAATCATAAATTCCCAATTTTTGCTTCTTAATTAACTTGTCTACTGAACATTTAATCTGCGAATAAAAGCACACAAATCCTAGTGTTTAACCACCAATTTCCTGACTTTACAGTGGGTTCTACCTTTGTTTGTCCATCAAATTTAGGGTTTTCATCTGGAGGGTCAGTAGATTGGAGGAAGTTCGAGAGTGGGGTGTTATGGTGGAGAGAATGGATATGGTGAAGGCGCAGCCGCTGCAGGCGGGACCGTACCAAGATGGGGAGGATGCGATGCAAATGGATGGGAGAGGAGGAGTAGAGGGAGAGGGAATTAATGGGTTTCACGAAGGAATCATGAATGGAGTAATGACTTCACTGGAGCATGGTAATGGAGGTCTTGTTCAGCCTACTCGAACCAGTGAGCTCACGGTCGCATTTGAAGGGGAGGTCTATGTCTTCCCTGCGGTTACACCTGAAAAGGTTAGTGCTTTTCTTTCTCTGATTTCTGGGTTCTACTTAATTGGTCGTATTTTGTTTTGCTTCTTTCCTGCATTTCCTGGGCAACGGGATGGAGAATTGGGATTATTGTTTTTGGAATGGCCTCTTGGGCGGTGTGTATCTTACTTTAGTTTCCAAAATGAAGATTAACCAGTTGGTGTACAATTATGAACCCATAATTTTTTCTGCCAAGTTTCAAAGCCAATTGCCTGCTGCAAGAGTGGAGTGTATGCTAATCTCTAGATGTGTTTGCAAATCTGAAGTGAGATTATAGCTAGTGTTGGATCGGTGCATTAGTTATATGTGATTTTTTCGTTGTATGATTAACTATCTTGTTTATGTTCATTTAGTTGCAAAGGTTAGTGTTGAGCAAGATAACGGTCTTCAGCACTGGTACCTACATATATATGAATCCTTTTGTGTAAAAGAAGTTGCTATGGTGTCATTCTGTGTTGTTGATTTTCTGGCTTGTTTGTGGCAGGTGCAAGCAGTTTTATTACTGCTGGGAGGACGTGATGCATCAACGAATTTGCCAAGTTCTGAGTTTCTACTACAAGAAAAGATGAAGGTATGCTGTATCAGTATCACTTTGCTATATGAAAGGTTATTTCAATAATTAACCTTTAGTTAATGTTTTCTCATAACATTCACAAGGTTGTAGGTGATTGTTCACAAGGCTCTAAGCTTTCACGAAGACTTGCCTCACTGGTCAGATTCCGAGAAAAGCGGAAGGAGAGATGCTTTGAAAAGAAAATCCGGTATACTTGCAGAAGAGAGGTTGCTCAGAGGTACATTGCCATATTTGTTGATAATTTTTAGAAGTGAAAAAGGGAAAAAAAAAGAAGAAATCTTTCCATTGATATCATATGACTGAATGTATTGGACATGTCTTGTTTTTGAACTGATTATAAGTGATTTGGTTTGGGAAAAACTTAAGCAACTCGGTCTTTTCCTGATATATATGGTTTTCTAGTTTTGAATCTTAATTAGCATACATATTGATAGGTCTCTCCTTGCAGAAGATTTTTTTTTTTTTTTTCTTTTTATCTCTTATGTTCCTTCTTGAATGTTCATCTCAAGTCTTAGTCCATACCATGTTCCTATTTGGTACATAACTGTTGTAAATTAGTCTCCTGATGAGTTTCTCCTTCACCAAGCTGCTTTTTAATGTCTTAACTTTTGCCTTCTGGTTGTTTGATTAATTCTTGTTCAAGATATGATTGATATATGTGTTCTTTAATTATCTTGCTTAAACTAGAGATGATAGTATAATTGTTGGTAATGTGCAATGCTCTTTGGAAATTCTGACTTATAAATGGCAGGCCCCTGTACCTGTACCACCTAAGCCAGGCTTGGTTAGATTTCTAAATTTTCAGTTTTCTGGATAGTGAATTGTGCAGAGATGAGTTTCTTCCAGTTTTTCAACTGGAAAAGTCAGAAGATGCTTGAGGCAGTTAAGTTTGTTGGGTTCTATTTGAATAAAGCTTTGAAAAGTGCCGTAAAGGTGTCTGAACAGTGGCCAATTAGGAGGTGGATTGTGAACCTGTTATTAGTCAGTAACTCAATATGAATTCTAATTAATTGTAGGTTGATTTTCTTTGAGGTCTTTAGCTTATTGTGTTCTATAGTGATTTTTTTTTCTTAAATATAATTCAATTGTCATACTGGAGATCTTTTCTCAAGATTTTGGACTTTGGGGGTATTGTCTACCTGAAGTTGTTAATGAATTCATGGGATTTAATTGAATTGAACCCTTAATGATCCAATGATGTTGTGATGATGGTAGCAACCACCACATAGGATATGTGCACAACAAGGAATTACTGTCCACGACTTTGTCTGATATTTTGTTACCAAAGTAAGCTCTTTTTCTCTTTCATCTGCTAGGATGCATCGTAAGAATGGGCAGTTTGCATCATTGAAAGAGAGCTACAATGTGCGTGCTGGAAGCTCAGATCCAAGTGACAGCACCCCTCCTCCAGAATCTGTGTGAGTTTTAAAGCTTGCTCTTTATTCTTTCCATTTATTGCTAAGGATGACACTCAGTTTAATCATGCTTTTGTGTTGTTGGATGTCTTCTCAGTTCAGGCAGATGTCAACATTGTGGGATAAGTGAGAAGTTAACTCCAGCGATGCGTCGAGGGCCAGCTGGTCCCAGAACCCTTTGCAATGCTTGTGGTCTTATGTGGGCAAACAAGGTAGGTTTAAATTGGTCGTGCTGCTGAATCTATTATGGTCCTTTTACTTATTTTCCTTAAAAGATTTCATGATGCTTAGTTGAAGATATTAAACCTTCAATATGAGGTTAACTTTTGCATATAATATCTTTTGTGGTCTGGTTGTGCCCTTTAATTATGCTAATTAGTTTTACTGTGATGAGAAACCATTGCTTGAAATATAAAGAATATTCTATATGATCTCCCTTAATTTCAGTTTGAAGGATTTGGGATTTATGGTTTTGTTCTTTTCTACTCTTGAATGGACTCAGCTATAACACTGCTTAATGGCTCTGCTGGATGTGATATTCATCTGAATATAGGATTACCTGTCTGGTTGGTTATCATGTTTTCAACATGGCATAAGTAGAAAAAAAGAAAAGCTTCCATGTGAGAATACAAGTGCCACTTTATAAATTCCTATTCTAATGGGTTTGATGAAATGATACATTACTGCAACTGTATGATGTTTCTTCATAGTTCATACATGCTGGCCTGTAAAGTTCATTAGAATTTGTTATAATGTTATTATCTTTGAAGTCATTTACAATTTTCTCATTTTATGATTTGATTTCAAGGGAACTCTAAGAGATCTTTCAAAAGGCGGGAGGAGCATTCAGTTTGATCCAAATCAGCCAGTATGTGCAAGTAGCAGCTGATCTATTTTTTTAATTAACATAATCTTCTTTAAGGGAACTAGTGGACAAAAATTTCTTCATTTTGATTCATTGAAAAGAAAAAAGTGGGTAAAAATTTCCCCTAAATTTGCTCAATATTATTACCAAAGTCAGGCATTTTTAATTGTTCTTTGTTATTTCTTAATTTTTATTAATAAGACATCTTATTAATTTAGGAAATCAATTCATTTAATCTTGCAGGAAACTCCTGTGGATATTAAGCCTTCAACCATTGAACCAGAAAATTCATCTGTTGACGAGGATGAGCAGGTATTGCTAGAATGTTTTTATTATTGCTTGTTTTTAAGCAACAATTTTCCTGTTGTAGTATTTAGTAAACCATAGCTTTTCATCTGTATTAGCAGTTTATACCATAACCCCTAGATTGTTGACACTTAATTTTGGCATGATTTACTGGATTCTCTCCCATTTTCAACCATCAGGGAAGCCCATAATAGACCAAGCCTGGACATTTGAATTCTAAAAATCATTTCATAAGACCAAATGATCACCTAATGCATTTTTACATGGATGGATTGGAGGAAAGAATTCCTTGTGCAGAAATTTTGCGCAATACAAATTTAATTTTCTTTTCTTTTCTTTTTTCCTTTATTTTTTTTTTAATTCAAAATGCTACCTGTTTTGTTGAAAGAGATGCTATAGTTGATTATGAGGCTATTATCTTAAGAGTAATAAGGAGCGTAGAGTCAACTCTACCTTTTTCCTTTCTCTCTCTTTTATGTTCCTTTATCTCTCTAAAAATGAGTTTGACTTTGTGGGAATTTTGTAATTACCTTGATCTTTAAAGGCATTTTGGTGGACAAAAGTTTTAAGTTGAGCAATCGCAATTGGTGTAATTTTTGTAAAACTTGTCTTTTTTGTAAATAAATTTTACTTTATATCTTTTTCCATTTGTATGGAAATTTTTTGTCTTTTTTCTAATTGAGGCTATTTTTTTTAGTAATTATTTTTTTACTTTATATATTTACATAGAAAAATGTTTTTTAGCTTGATCTTAAAATTAATTATGTTTTAAATCAAATAAATTAGGTTTAGTAGGAGCAATTTTAGTTTTACAAATTTTTATTATAGTATTAAAATATCTCTTAAACCTATTAAAATATCCATAAACTAATTATTTAATATTACATCTTTTCTATGTATTTTATTTTATTATTTATTTCAAATAATAATTTTTTTCTTCTTTTAGAAGTCAAATGCATCCCAACAAACCACAAGTGGGTTTGATAATGCTAATACTTCTTTAAATAACATACTAGCTGTCTAAATCAATGCAATTTTCCTTTTAATATAAAAAAAATGTATTTATGATTATAGTGGAATTACTAAATTACCTGGAAAGAGATTAACACCCATTCATCATCAAACTTAGGTATTCATCATTGTTTGTGGTAGATCCATGACATTATTGCTGCCTACATTTATTAGATGGAATTACCAATTTTTAATTGATTGTATTTATTGATTTCTAAATGAAACTTGACTGGTATGCAGGATTTTATTGAGACTTGCCAAGCAGTTCCTAATAGTTTACTCCCCATCCAAATGCCGAATTGCTCAGCAAATCTTGATGATGAGGTATTTTGTTAGTCTGTTAGGTTTGATATTTCCAGTATGTTTTAGTGTATATAATTCTTAATATTGCAGTGTATCTGTCAGAGTTTTTGTGAGGGAGAGAGAAATAATCTATCATTAATCAGTTTAAGTGTGGTGAAATGATGCTTATATTTACAAATGTTATATTATGGCTACATAAACATGGAGTTGCATGTTACATGTCAATGTAACAGGTTTGAATCACACAAAAGATCAAGAAATGTTGCCATTTTGGATAACATTTGAGGCCTGAAATTTTGAAAATATTGTCTTGCTAGATCCATTGAGTCCTTGACTCGTTCAACATATTTTCTTATAGGAGAACGAATTCTTTGAATCTTGTCAGATAGGTATTGTTCTTTTTGACATTATGTAGGATGAAATTCTGGGACTTGCAGGTTGCTCTTGGATCTAAAATATGCTAACCAGCCTCTTAACTTATTTCCTCATGACAACACAAAGCCTATTTTTTTTCAACCACATTTAGCTGAAAAGATGGAAGGGTGTAAGGCAAAACATAAATGTCTTTCCGCTGGATTAGGTTTGAAAATAACCAATATTGGTATCTGAAGTAACTGTAAGAGGGTCAGAGAGACATTGCATCTCTTTTTTGTTGAAAGAATAGAACCCTCATGTCATTTGAATTCACAAGTTGTATTCCTTGGCAGTTACGGTTTATTTGACATTGTGTCAGGACTTACAGGAAACACTGGATGAGCTTGCAAATGCATCGGGGTCAGATTTTGAGATTCCATCACATTTTGACGAGCAGGTAGGGGTTTTGAGCAACCTGGCAGCTGCCATATAGGTAACTAACCATAAATATGTTTTTCACTTCCGTAAGTTCATGAATGCAAAACTTCCAGGTTGACATTGACGACACCAACATGGGGACTGGTTGGCCTGGGACCTGATCTTGCAATGTGCATGTGTATGGATATGGTTTCTCGATGACATATTTGATGTTGCAAAAGCTGATACTGTTTAACAATAGATTTCCGGGCAGCCTTCAATGCATAGAGACACAAAATTCTCAAGTATATGCAGCTGCAGAAATTACCGGACACATCTTGTACCATTTTTGTTTTTGTTAGTCTTAAATTTTTAATAGTGAATGACATATTGTGCCTTACACATTTCGGCCTCTTTTCTGCATTGTTTATATCAGGAAATGGTTCAAGACCTTTTAGTCTGTATAAAGCCTGTGTAATTTTAACTTGTAAAGGTGTTCGAGGTACATCAAGTAGGCTATGTTTGGTAACCTTAAAGACACTTTCTTGGAAAATTTTGCCTAGTTACAATGGGAGAAAGTTGGGAAAAGTGCACCACCTCAAATTACTTCAGATGCAACTCGCTGAGTGCAACTTGCAACAAGAGAATGTTTGGTTTGAAAGAAATAAAAAAAGAGGGAGAGGCGGAAAGGGAGAGAAATGAAAGGACACGATAGTATTTCATTTCTCTCCTCTCCTCTCCCTTGATTTTGACAAGTTAAAATGAACCAAGGAATTGAAAGAAAAAAAATAAAATAAGGGAAGATTGTTCTCAATTTCTCACCCATTCTCTATAATTTATTTTATTTTATTTTGTAACTAAATAAAAGTAGAGTTTCCCCTCTTTTATCCACAAACCCTAAGCGATGGTAAGGCGTTGGGTAGCACTAAACATAAATGCAAAATCTGTGAGTGTACTTCCTTTTTTATAATTTTGCCATAGCAATGGCTTTCACTCTTAGTTATCAAGAATCAAAACTCTGATTTCCAGACAAGGAAAAAATGAAAGGCGGGGTGGGGAGAAGAGCCCTCATGCTTCAATAGAATGGAAACAATTTCAGGGTTAAAACATGATAAAATAAACTGCATCATCTCTCTCATAGGAGGGGGTTCCATTGGAAGTACTTCTGAGCCCTTTATCAATTGCATCAAACGATATTGAACTCAAAACAATACTCACTCCAATATTTTAGTGGAAGATTTTTATTATTTTTGTATTATATGTTTATCTACACTGCATTTTCTTTCCAATTTTATATATTCCACAACTGGGATCGTCTCAAGAAACTGCCAAACACCAAAAACACCATTCTCCTTGCATTTTAGGGGAAATTAGTGAAAGTAAGAAATAGGTAGTCCTAATTGGTCATACCCTCCTTACAATTATCTCGTTTTTATGATTTGACAAAGGAATGGACATTCCTCCAACCAAATGAGCCCTAAATGCACAAAATAACCAGAAACCAGAAAAGAAGATTCCATATGCACAACATACTGTATTAAAAAAAACATTGTCTTATTTACCAGGGAGGACAGCTAGTGCATTGTTGTATTGTAGACAAGACATGCCTTTAGATCCTAAACGTAAAAGCTGAGCAAAACAATGTGAAGTCCTAAAGATGCCAAAAAGCACCATCCACTTTCAGAAACAAGAGACTTGTGTAACATATTTACCAAAGACAGTACTGCATGTCTAGGGGAAACTTCACAATGACTTGCAATATTCACTCTCAGAATCAAGAGATTTGTGTAACATATTTACCAGATTCCTATCCTGAAAAACAGTACTTGCATTTTGTTACAGGAAGATGCCAATGGGCACACCTTGTCAATCTGGTCTAGTGCCTTTTTACCAGGGGGATGGCAGTTGCAGTTGTCTCATGCTTCAAACATTGTCCAAGTCCTAAAAATCTGTAAGTGCAATAAGGAATCTGGTATCTGAAGCATGAAGGCCCAGGCGTTGCCAGAGTTGATACATAGTCAAATGAAATGCATCATATTTGATGGGAGGTGAATTCCATTGGAAGTATTTCTGAACCTGCATCAATTTGCATCAAAAACCATAGTCTCTCTTCAAATGTTAAATAAAGTGCATTCAGTCTAAGACTGCAATGATATTGTATTTATTTACCTTCATTGTATTTTCTTGCAAATTTCTATATTCTGCTTCTGTTATCTCCTCAAGAAACTGCAAAACATCGTATGCAAGATAATCATCTTGCTCCATTTGTACAGAAAATGCACTCCAGTTCATCATGCTAGAGAATGGCAACTCATACTGGTCTGGCCAAACAACTGCAGAAATTAATGGCCACTGGAACAGCTTAGAAAGACAAGTAGATTAAATCAATTCAGAAAAACTAGACCTCTCTTATACTTAAAGGGTGTCTTACCAGGAACACATCCATAGTGAATGGCATCTGCAATACGCCCAGCACCCATTTGAGATCCACCAGGACACAGGCAAAACTTACTTGTATTGTAATCTAAAGTCCGTGATGCAATATTCCTATAGTCTCTTGTTCTTTCGCGAAGCAATGACACAGTATGGTTGTTCGTCATGGAAAACTCTGACTCTGTACCATTCCGCAAAGCTATTTCTTCAGAAAGGTCATCATCTCCCAATAGAACCAGTCTAGTTCTGCAATATTAAGAAACACATGACAAGCTAATTAACAACTTGTCCTGCATAGCAAAAATCAGGAGCCAGCAAGATGTGTCAAAGTTATTCAGAGATGTTAGGAGATATGTATTAGGAGTAAATCAGTCAATTATGAGAATGCATACTACACAAATGGCAGCTGAAATGTAGCAGACAAACACAGCCACACACTCGGAAGATATGGCAGCTGAAATCACCTCTTCTTTATATCATTTCCAGCAGCTGGATGTTCAAATGGCAGTAGTATGTGAGGGAGGGCTAGATCCTTCTCTTTAACAAATCCATCAATATACTCAGGATTGCATACGACTCGAATAGCTCTGTTGGCAAGATCTGGAACTCCTTGGGTTACCTTCAATGCCATCTGATGGCAACTCACAAAAAAATGATCCGTACCATGTGTTCTGTTCCAGTAAGGATACTTCAAACTTATTCTCCGGATGTATTTCTCCACAACA